GTTAAATTTATAAGCAAATGCATGCAGTGGGGCCAAAATCTTTTATAGACCCTTGGACACCAAAGACAGCAGAAGCCAGATGCACGGAATAAGCTGTAGTACAAAATGTTGTTGGACACTTCTGGAGGTGCGACGTGATGTTATTTTGGAGGGCTGGCACTTTTATTTTTGTCCGAAATTGAGAAAAAAAATGTAGCCGAATTAGGTCGCAAACAGCTGAATTAGGAAACAATAACTTTGGATATTTGTCAAGCGGGGAAGGGGAATAAACGTATGTTCGTGAAATTAAAACCATCTATAAAAAGCGAAAGCCGAAGTTCAGAGCAATACGTTATGTAGGATAGCGAAAAATGTCATTAAAATTCGCCAATGTTTACCAACTGAACTAAATAGGGTTAAGACTTTGGATTATCAAGAAAGGGACATTATTCTCCAATATTAACTCAAAAACATAAGATGTACACCTGCATATGATGTTGATAATTGGATAAAGGTAGAATAAATCCAGGGGAGTATATTGTCTAAGTATCACTGCACTTGATGTCGTCCCTCCACATTTTGCAATAGATACTTGGTGAACATCCTTCTTGTTATTGGTTGTCTGCACATGATCTTTACCATTTATACGTTGTTTTTTCAGGAAGCCAATGATTCGGTCTAAATCTTTTCATGACAGAATAATTTCCCGATTTATAGGAACAAAGAATGACAAGTGACGGGACGCTTAAGAGCTTTGGTGTGAGAATTTGTTTATGAAACATCGCTAAGCTTCCGTCTATTGACTTGATTCGCCGAGCACGAGCAGAAGTTTGTTTCTGGTCCCAAGTGCTAGCCAGGGTTATTGGTAGGCGAAGCGGCTGAAGAATAAGCTTGAATCCGAAATAAATAAATGAATCATATACTCAAGGCACGGAGGTCCTCATCATTGCAAACTTAGTGCCGTGGTAAAAATAAAGATAAAGGGGATGATTGCTGCTTTGCGTAGCGTAGTATGGTAGAAAGATAATTTTATATCCGGAAACATATCGTCATTTTAAAACAATTTTCAAGGCAAGAGGTGCTCATAGCGTACAATGGGGTCGAAAATAAGCGGCGACAGTATAGAGTTAACAAGCTCATCGCCGAAATACAAAAGATGCGACCTTGCGGACTGCGGAATCAGTATCAGTTTATTCAGGGAAAGAAACGCAGACGCCTTTGAGCTCCTATTGGTACCGAACTGGCTAGAAAATATGTTGATAGAAAAGAAAATACAAAAATATACTTCAATTATACACTTGGAGACGAAAACCGAAGAGCTGTTGGTTAATCGAGATGGTAATAAAATACGTCTAATTGCTAAGCATCAGCAATACAATAACTACACGTAATAGTCTCGTTTGTGGCTTAAGGTTTTTGGTGCATGTTCAGTTTGCTGTGAAATTCGTTCACACAGGTGAATAGGACAATCTCTTCGGGAAGAGTAGTCCACGCTGCAACCACTATGTTGCTGACGAAAAATTTACGTTCATTCATTTTTGCTTTGCCGAGGCATGTTTAACTGGGCAAAATAATCGTCGGGAATAAAGCAATGATCCATGCCATTCATAATAGGAAAAGTAAGTATAATATCTCCTCGTGGTTGTCTGTATAAAAAGGGGAATACGTTGAGGGTTGACTGTCTGCTTTCACAGGTTAGTATTCCCAGGCCTTTGGACATTTTTGTCGCTCGCCTCTGGACCTGCTTTAAGACGGTGCAGTCTTTGACAGTCCAGGGTCTCCATGTCTGTATAGCGAATTCTAGGTGTGCCCCAACGAAGATTCCAAATAACTAGGAAAAGCTTTCCTTATAAATCCCATGAAGGCTCGCCTAATCAGTTGCAATGAAGATCTGGCTGACTTCGCGCCTTCTGGCAGTTTAGCCTTTGTTTGAGTGAAGGGATAATCCACATACTTAAGTCCATCTGACTGTCAAATTGTTGCAACGGTATATTGTTTAAGAAATAAGCTTTCGGGCTTGATGTCCTACAGCTTTGCTTTTAAATAAACATAAGTCGATATCGATAAAGAACTATTTGGGAAATTATACAAGGAATTTATTCCTTCACATCTGGAATATAGAGTCCAGGCGTGACGCCCGTAGTTGCAAAAAGACTACAAGGTACTGGAAAAGTCCAAAGGAGAGCAGCATAAGTTGTGAAGGGCCTAAAGTCCTCATCTTACGAAAGCATACTTGAGGTACTTAACCTTTTTTCTCTTGTGCACAGTAAAATCTGAGGTGATCTCACACAGACATACCGGACTGTGAGGAATTTGGACTGTGTTCTGCAGTTTGAGGACTTCTTTGCATTCACCACATCAAATAACCTTCGTGGGAATTCCCTCAAACTCGGAGGAACCTTATCCCATCTAGATGTCCGCAGCCATTCTTTTTCACCGCGAGTAATCGGGGCCTGGTACGGACTGCCCGAAGAAGTCATAATGGCCAACTCGACAGACACCTTTAAAGGCAAGCTCGATATATTTACTTAATAGATGCCGTTACTATGCACAGGAAAGCACTGTTAGAACATACCAACGCTTCACTTACACATAAAGATGAAATACCTATTTACTATCCCACAAGGTAAATGTACGATCGTCAGGATGATAATGCATAAATATCACTGCTGAAATGTGTACCTATGTATATGCTACTCAATATTTTACAGTAGCATATTTATTTTACAAATCTTATGTTGGATATATTTGCATAAAGTTTTCAATAGTGTATTTTAAAGGCCTAATACCCTAAATATACTGAATTGTTCCATGGAAAGGCAGTAGCCAATGCTTTGACCAGTCCTTCAACCTGTTCAAGTTGGTTTGTAGATGGGTTTTCGCTGCCGTATTTCTGAAAGCGTTCCGTAATTTTATTTCATCAGTGAACAGGGTGGCATCACGGCCTGGGTCTCTGACAGAGTTCAAAAGCATTTTCTACTACCCTTACTATACTGAACTATTTCTATTTGTTCAGCCTTGACAGTAGGCTGAGGACTCGTGTCAGGCTGAAGACTGATGTAAGTGAAGAGGTAACTAGGTCCTTTCAATCACTGCTTGGGGCTAGAGGCCTGGGGCTTCGGACGAATTGAGACGTTTGTTTTCATATTTTTTGTTGACGATCGCTGCTGGCAGCCTAATGCAGAATGCTATATGAGCAGTCAGCAAACAGTATCTAACCAAAACCGCCAAGGAAATGACAACAGATTCTGCAAAAAAGGCTTACCGATTAATAGGCGAAAAAAATTCGAGGTTCAGATAAAATATTCCTTTCATCATTCCCGGAAGAGGAAGAAGAAGAAGAGACGATTTCTGGGACCAAGGTGTATTTTGGCTGACATATCAAAGGCGTGCTCGCTTCCATCGTCAGAGTGTGGTGTCTGTACTCCTGTTCGCGTCACATGAATGTGTCCGACCACTAGCCTTGCCTAATGCTCATGTGTCAGTCGATTGCACCGATCAATTTCCGTGGCTGTTTGAATTGCTCGTGCCTTCACGGGCGTCTTCATGAGCTGTGCCAAGTCGTTTTTGTGTCTCTTGAGCATTTCTACCCTCTTTGCTCGCGGCTGCCGGCTGTCAGCCCTGCTTATCTATCTCCACCCGACCTATTGCGCCGTTCTGAGCCGATGTTAGCCTTCTGCAGAGCGCTCGGTAGGCGGGATGAAGGTCTATGGCTCTGTTTAGTGTGCCACTCGAGGACCAACTTTAAAGCAGCAATCTGGCCATCTTGTCGTTGGCTCGGCCTATTACCCTTGCTTCTTCAAAGGTGAATGTGTGGTTCTTCTGTTGTGCGCGGTCAAAGACCAAAGACAGCTTATCCTCGCGGTTGATTGCGAGCTGATGCTCATGCAGCCTTATGCCAAGGCTTCTGCCCGTTCCACCCACATACCTTGCAGTGCAGTCTTGGCATGGTATT